TATATTATGTGTTACATATAGCTTTGTAAACACTAGCAACAAGGGTAGGTTGAAGGGAACTGATGTCACCTTCAGTTTTAAGAAGTTAAAGCAAAGTTTCTAATCTGAGCAACTAAAGCAAAAAAGGTGCAAAAAAGTATTTAAATTGGGTATCTTTAGTTGTCTGTTAATTTGGCTTAAGAAAACAGCACTCCAGCTTAACTAAGCAACTTAGTGTAAATATAGCATCTGTTCAAAAACCAATGTATGAAGCTGAGTAAATGCCCTTTCTCCTGATCCTGCATTGTAATTCCCATCAACCTATCTAGCATTGCTAGTGGTGCAGAATGCAGGGAAGTGCAGTGCAAAACCTAAAGGGCCACATTACTACTGAAAAACAACAAAAAGAATGACCACCCAGAATTGTGAGTGGGACATGTCTGAACACAAGTGATAGTAGACGTCTTCATTCTCCTGCTACAAATTTTTAAGGTAATCGCATCTAACAAACATGTGAGATTTTGAAAAAACACTTAGATTTTGAAATGTAAGGAACTTTATGGATGAATCCTAGAAATAAGACTTGAGTTTGGCATTTGCATTATGGAACTCCTGTCCCACAGGCACAGTCTCTATACAACTTCTCTCTACCACTTATAAAAAAATATACGGCAATAAAACAAAAGTATGTTATGAAGAAACACGCATATACCTCTCTGTCAGGAGACCCATTACTAATGTTCATAATCCATCCTAATAGTAAGTGTGTGTGTATTCTGTTTGATTTAGATCTTACAATATTAAAATACAAAGTGCTGAGCATGAGGATTATACCCAGAAAGCACCTTTGGTGTCAACATTATATAGACCAAAAGAAACAATTGTAAAACCGCAGCCTAAAACTCTGAAATAAAATACCTGCTAACCTCCTACTCAGAGCTGCTTACTGATGACCTATGCACACCACATCCTTCCAGTTTGCAGGAAGAGTAGAATTGGTGCTGTTGTAGTGCAGCCTGAATCCAATTTCTACCTTATCTTCTATGGCAGTCATACAGATGGCAACAATATGTGTATGACAACAACGACAAGTGGGGTACCAGTTTTCAACTCCTGTTGTCTTCTACACTCCTTAGTGTCTCATTTTGAGGGTGACATTAAATATCTGTTCTTTTCCTGTTTTAACTACTTTCAGCTCTGTGCTCACAACCCCATTTCCCCCTACCTTTTCCCTCCCACCGCCCCTCCCAATTTTCTTCAAAGCGGCTGGAAACATTTGGAAGTAATTAGACCTGAAGGGAAATGTTGGCCAGTCTGGGAGACAATGACAAGTGCCAGGAACCCTTGGTGCCCCATCCAGTCACTTTGAAGTTCATTCAGATGGTACAATGCTCTGTTTTCTTTGTTAGAAAAAGTGGGGGTAGGAGGGAAATGGGCCATGTCAGGGCCATTGAATAGAAAGCAGGTTACTCTGAACTGATAGAGAACCCGATTAGTGGGAGGAGGGAGTACACAATTCAGAGGGAGACGGGCTGAAAGGCCTCCTCTAGTCACTCAGATTTAATACATCTCCATGTACATTTACGGAAAAGTCATACAGTTAAAATCCATTGATGTGGTTTCTATTTAGATGAATCTGAATATATCACCTGAGTGTTTGATCATTTTGGCTCAGTCACAAAATCGAATAAAGGGGCAGTGAGATCCAGAATTGCAAATGTTTAGCATTTGCTTCTAAAGCATACAGATATCCCTTCTTTTGCTTACACAGCAACAGTATGTGGAAAAATCAAAGAATGCCATAAATTAGGCATACAGATATACCTATGGATGTTATCAAAACACAGAAAGCAATTCAGGCACAAAAAACAAGAGCTACACTTTGAATTCAACAAAGGCTTGAGTAAAGTGCAGTGACTTGGCTTAGTACAGCTCTGTATTCAGTAGAGAGCAATGCTGAGCTGTCTCACTAAATACGTCTCTCAGTTTAGAGCAGACAGCATGCACCCACAAGGCAGTTAACAGTTGGGTGCTCAGCCAACAGATGTACCTTACTTCTCATGGAATGTGTGCAGCGGACCCCGGGACAAAGGAAAACAAGGCTCCAGTGACACAAGGCCAGAGATGGAATTCCTGGACCAGCACAAAATGAACCAAAGCAGAAGCATTTGCCAAATTGGGGGCCAGCATTTTCTTTTCTATAAATATTTACAGATTCGACATTTCTTGGCACAGAAATGCAAAGGGAACAATAAATTAAGATTCTAACTGTCAGGCAAAATAAATTTCAGGACTGCTATCAAACACTTTCAATATTCTAAAATAAGGGGAAATGGATATTTGAGGTACACATTTTATAAAAATTATTCTAAAATGTGTATAAGATTATTTCCTTTTGAAACAGAAGCTCAATATAAATTGACAAGTAACTAGTATCACAAAGGTTTTTATAAAACTCTCCAAGTTAAATGTTAGAAATATCATGCAAAGGGGTGCTATTTTGGTACATTATGTTAATAAGTTTCCTTGATTTGTAATTCTTGAGAAACTTATTTTAATAAAAGCAAAAATCTGGTTAACTGGGTTGTTGTAGGTCTTTCGGGCTGTATGGCCATGTTCTAGAAGCATTCTCTCCTGACGTTTCGCCTGTGGCAAGCATGCAGGTGAAAACGTCAGGAGAGAATGCTTCTAGAACATGGCTATACAGCTCAAAAGACCTACAACAACCCAGTAATTCCGGCCCTGAAAGCCTTTTACAATATATCTGGGTTAAGTAGCTACCAGGCCTATTCATAGTATTGTTGGGGAAAACGCTCATGCACATAACGATAATTTAAAATTTGAGTTGGTACAAAAAGCAAGCATAGCACATCCAGTGCATAGTTAGGAAAAGTATTTTTGGGAGCTGAAGTTAACATTTTAATTATATTGATAAAACTCCAAATGGAAACATAAAATGTGATTTCTACACAGATTGGTCCTTTTTGTTACATACTGGAATAATTGTAGAAACCCTGTTAGAAAACCGTATTTTTTCCTGTTTAGTAATGCTGTTTATATAATAATAAATGTTTTCATTGGGCACAAGTCAGAGGTCTGAAAACTATCAGATATCGTCATAGTTCCATCCTAAATTATGCCAATAAGCCGTCGTGTTTTTCCTTTCCACACGGAAAACGTTATCCACAAATTGGTTCTGGAATTAAAGAGGTGACTTTGTTGATACAAGAAAGGTTTGACTATTCTCACAAGCCAGTTGTCAACAAGTGGCACAGCTGGAATCTCCTAGGGAAAGGGAACCAGAGCCTTTTGAAATTGCTGCTAAGTAGAGATACAGCTATCTTACACAGGAACAGGCCTGGGAACGCAGGTGATTGCTGTCACTCCTTTTTCTTGACATCACCAACAGACTGGGGCTAAATGCGGCAAGGAAGAATTGCAGCTCCCATCATCCACATGGCTGTACTGGTGGTGACTGCTAAATGTTGGAGAAACTGTATTGAATTAGGTTCAAAGGTTGCAAAAGAGTGTAGGAAGCCCAGGAGAAAGGCCGGTAGAATAAAAATGGGTTCATGTATCAACAGGCATGTGAGCACACACAAACTGACCAAACAGTTGAAATCTTGTTGGAAGCTACAGTTTAACAACACAGGGAGGAGCATACGATTCCTACCCCTGCTCCAAAGAATGCAGAAAATTTCTATCATGGAGTAAGACAAACAGGTCAGCTCATTAAAGCCCTGCTTTAAAATTCAAGAAAGGAACACAGTAAGGAAGTAGAGGCACTTGTGTCAAAGGCACAAGTGAAAGCTGACTGAAGTCAGATAGAGAAAACTGTAATTGGCTTCTTCTCACTTGAGGTGGAGACATCCAACAAGAAATTATGTCTCAGTTCTTGTGGGTTTTTTCGGGCTATATGGCCATGTTCTAGAGGCATTTCTCCTGACGTTTCGCCTGCATCTATGGCAAGCATCCTCAGACGTAAGAGGAATGCTTGCCATAGATGCAGGCGAAACGTCAGGAGAAATGCCTCTAGAACATGGCCATATAGCCCGAAAAAACCCACAAGAACTGAGTGATTCCGGCCATGAAAGCCTTCGACAATACAAGAAATTATGTCTCTGACAATCTGAAAACCTATATTTCAAATGTGTGAATAATAAGGACATTTTAAAAATCGGTTCAAGATTTCAACAAACCTAGCCATGTGCAAATCAAAAAGTAGCAATATAAAATGGCTTGTATGACTGCAAATGGCAACTAATGTCAAATGGAATAAAAAGGCCTCTGGAGATAACTGTGTATAAAAGATAGTGGGCCACTATTCCAGTTGAATCTGACTTTGGATTGGAAGCTCAAAATATGGTCTTTTCCACAATATGCATCTTCAACCATCAGCACATGTTAGTGTATATAAGTGTACATAACTGACTTCAATTAAGTATTTAAAAATATTAAACATAAGAAAGACTTTAAGATGACCTGGTTTTGAATGCACTTGTCTAGAGTAGTAACTCCCAAACTTTAGTCCTCCAAGTGTTTTGGACTCCTAGAAGCCTCAAACTCCCTTTACCAATGACCAGGGATTCTGAGAGCTGAAGTCAAACACACATGGAAGTTCCAAGTTTGGTCTAGAGTAATTTAGTACATATTTGTAACTTCACTACCCCCCCCCCCCCCCCCCGCAAAAGCAAATGATCTGCTAGTAGATTTTAATAGAGGTGATCTCATTGTTCAAAACTAGCAGATCAATAAAACAATTTAAATGACTAAAAATGTAATTTCAAGGGCCTGATGGATCTCCAGCATGAGAAATGGTAACTCATACTAGATGCAGGTGATCTTTTGCCTACCTTTCACAGTCATAAGTAAGTGTGGCTCTGGGGTTACATGCAACATCCACAAGACTAGGTTCTTGTGGGTTTTTTCGGGCTATAGAGCCATGTTCTAGACTGTTTCTCCTGTCTTCAGTCCCTTCAGAGTCTCTGGGCTCCTTTTCATCGGCACACAAAAAAGTAAACTTCTAGGAGTGACAATTAAACTTTTATTGACATTTCAAAACCAAAAGTGGACTTTTGCTTATTTATGAGGTGGACTGATCATTTTTGGCAGACCTCAGAAGATCTTATGGGAGAAAAATCAGTCTTCAGACATGCTGCAGTTGTTTGCTACTGGGCAAGTTACTGAACCTAGAAATGACCTAACAAATTTCTAAGCACCATTTATGTATGAGAACCACAGCAGCTTAGAGGCTCCTCTCCAGGGTGGCAAAGGATTTTCACAAATGTGCCTGATTACTTCATTTATTCTAAAATAGAAATGTAGGAGGTTTTCTCAGCTTTACTGCACTGCCATATTTGTAGCCAGAACATAATTCTGCAGACAAAACTTCTTTCAATTATTCCCATTACAGTAGAGTTGGCAAGAGAAAATGATGCATTGCAATTTTATTCTGAAAAATCTGTAGGTGAGGCCAGGCCTTTTGGTATGTCATTCAACATAGTACACAAAGTGAAAATGAGGCAGTTGAACACGTTGCCCCTCAAGCCAGGCAAGGCATTGCACTTGTTGGGCTATTACATAGATCCTTCACCTTTTTCCACCTGAAATACAAACAGAAAATAGCCATCACAGCTTTTGCAATAATCTTTTGCTACAGCAAAAACTTCCACATTGCTGCATTTCCAACAAACATCTCAAGCAGGAGGCAACCAAAATGGTAAAAGGTTGGAAGCCATGTCCTATGAGGAGTGGCTTAGGGAGGTGGGGGGTAAGTTTAATCTGGATAAAAGGTGGTTAAGAGGGGACATTTTTTAAAAACATGTGAAAAGATGTCACATTGAAGACAGAGCAGGCTTGTTTCTGCTGCTTCAGAGATTAAGATACAGAGTAATGGTTTCATAAGGAAAAATCTTCAGATGGAAAGAGCTATTTGAAAGTGTAAAATGCTGCCATACAGAGTGTGACTGAGTCTCCCTTCTGTAGAAGTTTTTAAACAACCTTGATGGCCATAACTATTTCACCGGAGTTGAATAGTTTGAAGGAATGAAAGTATGGTACAATGGAAAACTGAATTCTTTATATTCAGCTATTGTGTGAAAGCAATACACTCTAACAGAGGGAGAAGAACATTAAGCTTAGAGTTGGCATATTCCCATTCTACCATCCTTTCTTGCCAGTTTCATTGTAGGAAGGAATTTTAAAAAGAACCTTTCAGAAAAACAATTCTCAGCAATCCCAGTAAGTCATGCAGTAACCCTACATTGTCCCTGTGCATAACTGTGCCATAAACCTACATGCAGGATGTTGGGCTACTACATAGATCCTTCCTTCCTGAGAAAGACACTGGTTAACAGCAAGTATTGTAAGAGGGTACCTGGCAGCTTCAACCACTTTGGCACTTTTCCAGATGGAGTTCTCCTGGCTTGTGGCTGGGAAACTTCCACAGCTGTGGCCATCTCTGGGTTTCCTGGTACTACAGTCTCTGCCGCTTCCTTTGGTTCAGGTGGGGAATGAATTAGAGGTTGTGAACTTGGTGGAGAATAAGTCACTGGTTTAGACGAACGTCTAGGAGAAAAAGTAAACATGCAGATGTTAAGGCACTTTAGATTTTGAACTTCATAGCAAAAGTTAAAAGATTTATGAGTTTCATGTCAACAGAATGCTTTTCAGTCTTTAGGAGATGGGACAGTGTGGGTGGCAATCTTCATTAAGCTGGGATTTACAAATCTCCAAGTGTGAACACATATGCAAGCAAGTTTTATCAATTGCCAATACTTTTCACTAGGCAAGGCAATCATCCATATCTTCAAAAAGGAGTACAGCATCTGCTTACCTGGCTACTAAAATGTCAGCTTTAGAAAGGGACACTGCAGATTCCAGCAGGTCCAGCCTCAGATAGTAATCTATAAACACACAGAGTTCATGTCTGTTAAATAAAGTAATAATTCTCAGGATACCTGTAGCAAAGTGCTTCAAAGCAATGAAGCCTTCAAACTCACTTCTGTTTTTAAAACCTGCATCAGTTTGTCCAGACATCACTCTGAATACTGACTGAGTGATGGTTAAAACATTAACAAAAACAAAACTGCAGACAAACAGACAGTGTCTCACCCTATATGTATATGTTTTGCTTACTCTGATTCTTTTGATCTTTATACCACTGGCCATTTACCAGTAAAATGCTCCACTCAGATAAACTGCTAGATGATATCTTCAACATGCAGCACAATTCTACTCTGATCTCCCTTGCAAACAAATGTTAAAGCCTCCTAAACTATGATCAGTTCAGCTGTTACGGTTATCTGAACAGATATCCATAGCAGTATGTATCACACTTGTCCTAAGCTTGAAGGTGAACTATTGGAGATAATGTGGAGTATTTATATATCTTTTATTCGTGGCTGTTATAGACTGTAAGTTCTATTTGATTTCACAAAACTATTTATGAATAATTAAGGTACATCCTAGATATTTTAAAAAGTGGTACAACAGCTTGTAGGATATACTTAAACCAGGTGTACTTGATCTCACTTTACTTATTGTAACACAGTGAGATTATTATTTATATTAACTTAACTAGACACAACTCCATTGACTGCCAGTCTGTTTCTGGGCACAATTCAAAATGCTGGCTTTGACCTATAAAGCCCTATATGGTACAGGCCCCGGCTATTTAAATTATTTTCTCTTCCCATAAGAGCCAGCCCAAGGTGTAAGATCTTCTCTTTATTCCAATTTCTTTGCAGGTACGGTGGTAACATGGGAGAAGGCCTCCTATGTGATTGCTCCCACACTTTATAACTCCCTTTTGAGGGAAGTTAGGAAGACTCCTTTGTTGTTTTCCTTCTTGTGACAAGTTAAAATCTTTCTTCTCTAGCAACCATTGGAAAATTGCTTTTAACAAACAGGAGTGGTTTTATGGTGCTATACTGTTTTCAATCAGTTTAGGACTAAGATTTTAACTGGTTTTAATATTGTTATCATTTGATACTGTTTTTTTAAATTTCATATATTTTTACCTATATATTTTATTGTACTCTCTGCCTTTTATAAACGGCCTTGAGTCCCAGCCTGGAAGAAAGGCAGATATAAACAAAATAATGGGTGGATGGACACAAACAACAACTCCAATAGTTTAAGTCAATAAACTGAAGAACTGAACCAGGGGAAACATTCACCAAATCTTTTCAGCCATTATTAACACCAAGTTGGGGCGACTCCGTCTTTTAACTGGAGATGATGATAATGGTGATTTGTCATCACTATATACATACTCTGCTTTTTCTCTGCCAAAGGAGACTCAAAACAGCTAACAATAAAAATCATAAGTATATCTGTGGAAAGAATTGATATTTCCATTTATTTCATCTTAAACTACAGCAACTATATATCATCATTTCTATGCCAGGTTGACTTCTAAACTGGTATCATGGCCTGATATCAAATCCTTGGGCTACCAACGGTCCACTGATTTTTTTCTCAATATGCTCAAATAGGTCCAAATACCTTAAAATTGGGATTGGCCCCTGGGACTTTGCTCCTTTGGACACTTATACAGAGCTTTGCTGAACCTTCTGGAAAGACACCAGAAAAGTCAGCTACTTACCACTATGCTTTTCAGATCCAAAGTATACAACAGCAGCAGGGAAAAGGTTAGCCTGCAATAAGAAAAATCACAGGGTTAGAAGGAAATAGAGGAAAACTGGGAAACGTCTCTTCTGTAGTCAACTGGAGAGCATCTAAGCACTGCAGAGAGCAGCTGTCTTTTATTCTACATTCCACATGCCAAAGGAGACCTTTTTTGCTTGTCAGCATATTGCTGCTGAAGAAGAACAAGACAAACCTTCATGCTGGTAACAAAGCTCCTTTCAATTATAGATGACCATGCAGTGGCCAACAGTTCTTACCCCTTATAAGTTTTCTATCCCACATTCTCAAGCTTGAGTTAAGAAAGGCAAAATGTGTTAGATCACTGACATGGAAAAGAGTCCATTCCACCCTTGTTGGTTGCAATAAGAATTACAACTTAATGAATGGATGCTGGAGCTCTCTCCGCTTCTCACACCACCCCATTCTTCCAAATGTATTGGAGGTTTTTTTTTTTCATTGTACCATAAAAATACCAGATCTTGTTTGATCTTGAGGTTCAGCCCTGGATAGTAGTTCAGGGGAGAGACCACCAACAAATCCCAGGTACTATAGGCTATACTTCAGAGGAAAGAACTAGGAATTCTACCTATGCAAGAAATAGGAATTCCTATTTCTTGCATAGGAAACCCTATGAAATTGATGAGGTCACCATAAGCCGATAGGTGACTGTGTCACATGCACTCATAATTTTGAGAGACAGCTTTGCACTTAATATTTGTTAACTGCTCTGGGAGTCTTTTCTTGGCTAAAGAGTACAAATACTTTTAATAAATCAAGAAATGATGGATTAGCACAGAGAAGGGCACACAGAACAGCTGAGCGTCTGCATTTGCTGTATTACCACAGCCAAGGACTGTATTATTGGGTTGTTGTAGGTTTTTTCAGGCTATATGGCCATGTTCTAGAGCAGGGGTCCTCAAACTTTTTAAACAGAGGGCCAGGTCACAGACCCTCAAACTGTTGGAGGGCCGGATTATAATTTGAAAAGAACATGAATGAATTCCTAAGCACACTGCACATATCTTATTTCTAATGCAAAAAACAAAAAACAATACAATACTTAAAATGAAGAACAATTTTAACAAATATAAACTTATTAGTATTTCAATGGGAAGTGTGGGCCTGCTTTTGGCTGATGAGATAGGATTGTTGTTGTTGTTGTGTGCTTTCAAGTCGTTTCAGACTTAGATTGACCCTGAGTGAGGGCCGGGTAAATGACCTTGGAGGGCCGTATCCGGCCCCCGGGCCTTAGTTTGAGGACCCCTGTTCTAGAGGCATTATCTCCTAATTATTATTGTCATTAATAATAATAATTAGGAGAGACTGTATTATTGCCATTCCTCCAAGGGGCTGTTAGAAATATTAGTCCAAAATGTGATTATATAAACACATTTTGTTTTTCCACCATCATAAAGCACTGCAGAACACAGATATTAAACATTTTGTTTTTATATCTGTCTTCTGTAGCACTTTCGATCAGCAAACTCTTCCACTAGTCACTTTCCAATCACAGTTCTAGATGCAAAGATGGTTGTTCATTACATCTAGAAATGTGATCACTGTATTTATTTTTAAAAAGAGGTTGGAAGTGGAGAGAATAAGATACTCTAAAGCAGGCATGGGCAAACTTCGGCTCTCCAGATGTTTTGGACTCCAACTCCCTGTTAGGCTGTTAGGAATTGTGGGAGTTGAAGTACAAAACTCCTGCAAGGCTGAAGTTTGCCCATGCCTGCTCTAAAGGCCTTCTTGTGTAAAACTTGCAGAATAAAGGAAAAGGAATAGCATGGATCTTATATAGGGAAAACTTGCTACATTTGGAGTTTTGTAAGTGTCAGCATTCATACAGATATGGATGGTGCAATAGACACTTTACATCTTCTTTAAAGAAGCTTAATGACAAAACTCTCATTAAAGGTCAAACAAAAACTTAGCAGTTTTCATTTAATAAAAGGGTCCATCCTTTCAAGGTTCTTAATTTGACTCTAGACTGACTTGGAAAAGATAGCCGTTTTGAAAGATTGGCATAAATAAATTTTAATTTGTTCATAAATACTCTAGAGACTTTTAAATTTGCCAGGCTAGAGGACAATGAAAATTATTCAGAATGGTGAAACTCTATGCTCCTAATGAATCTCACCAACCAAATGGTTGGGCAACAAAATGGCAAATGTGTGGTTACTCAGGCATTTTTATTTCTTCAACTCATTTGCAAAGTATAAATGTGTGTCCTGAAAATGCCTGAGCACAACAGCTAAACACACACCCTTATTTCGTTGTTGTGTGTCTTCATTTCCTATTGATGGCAACCAGGGCCGTAGCCAGAAAAAAATTTCGGGGAGGGTTGACAATTTCAGCGGGGGAGAGGGGGTAAAAATTTGGGGGGGGGGGTTGAAACCTGCCTCCTAGCTCACGCTGAAGCAAAGAGGCAGAGCAACCTTCAATAGCCCGCAGCTCCGCCCCTGTCAACCACCTCCACCAAGTCTGGCCTCCTTAATGAGTGCATTCAACACACATACACACAACTTGGTTGCTTCACTAAATTGGCTATTGCTGCAAGTAATGACAGTGTGAATAAATTGTCAATATTTGCTTGAGATAGTGCTTACAGTTCTGGAGGGACTCTTAATTTTTTTGCATCTCATAGACTTAGCATGGGGATTTGGTTAACCAGTTAAAATTCGTGAGTAAACCAGGTTTTTTTGTAAAAAATCTGAAACATTTCGGGGGGGGGAGGTTTGAACCCCTAAAACCACCCCCTCGCTACAGGCCTGATGACAACCCTTAGGCAATCCCAATCACAGGCCTTTCCTGGCAAGATTTGTTCAGAAGAGAACTGCCCTTGTCTTCCACTGAGGCTGAGAAGGTATGACTTGCCCAAGGTCCTTAGTGGGTTTCATGGTAAAGTTGGAATTCAAATCCTGGCCTACAAAGTCATAGTCCAGCTCTCAAACCAGTACATTATGCTAAAGTGGAAATACAACAGTTTTCCCCAAAAATTCTAACAGCAGAGTGACACCAGGATAAATGAAATTCAATAAAGACAAGCAAAAAGCAATCTACACAGCAACAAAACCAAATTAAAATTCACTCCTTTCAACTATATAATTCCACCATCAATGGATTCAAAGGAGAATCTCTGACTTAGGGTTTAAAGTCAGACTGTTGGAATAGAAAAAGAAAGGATATACTATTGCTCTTTGCAAGGCAAATGCTGCTGCTTCCCTTTTTTGAAGTGATGGATCAAGAGTCTGGAAGTGTTCCAAGTGTAACAGTAAATATTTGTACATTAAATGAAAAGAACCCACCTTACTGATCTATTCTCCAGAGATTTGAAATGGGCAGGCAGCAAATTTAGTAACTGAAAGAATGGACATATGCATTCAGGTCCCAGGAAAAGAAGACCCTCTCTCCCCACACACAAGTACAACACCCAAGTTTCACCTTTTACATTCTAGCAATCAGGTTTTTCATAGTGCCAGCTTGATATTCTAACAACAGGGAAAAAACTTTATTCATCCCTTTAAAATACTTCCTCTTTCAAGCAATAGGACCCAAAGTTGCTAGCTTCACCAGGAACCAGTCACAAAGGCGTCTCTCCGTAAACGTTTTAATTAAAAAAGTACCAGACACAGTTAAGAACCTTGAGAAAACCCTTATGAAAGCTTTGATGTCTCCACTGCCTTCATCTGATGGGCTCCTACTATTTAGGGAATGGATTTTTAAAAAAGGAACATCCCCTCCTCAAAAAAAAAAAACCCTCTTCACATACACACTATCCTTTTCACGCTAGCCACAAAGTTGGAAAATGAGGTTTTTGTAGCGTGTTAGTGTTGGAATTTTTTAATAACATCCCCTCTCTTTTTTTCCTCTCCTGCCCAATTATCGTGATGAATAATTAACATTCTGAAGGAGATAACTAAGCACAGCATCTCAGAGCTCAAAGCCCTTTAGTTCAAAGCCCTGCCCTTTTCTCTTCGTTCCTCCAGTTGCCGCCACTAAAACTTCCTTGTCAATCAAGCTCTGGGCACACACATCAAAGCTTCATGTGGGAATGGCCCCAAGGGGTCAGAGAAAATTCATGGCAGGGCCTGTGAGTGAGGCACAAAGAAAGAGGAGAGACAGAGCAGGGGAACACAGTCCAAGTATGAGACAGAAACACACAACACCAATGCTGTTGCACACACACACACACACACACACACAATGTCCTGATAAGAGCCACTATCCTATTTTTACTTACAAGTTGACAAGTAAGTCCATCAAGCTCCTCCTCCCCAACTAATTCTCACCACTGGCAAGACATCAGTCCAAAGCAATTTTAATTGGAAGAGACTTAAAGGAATGAAACAGCAGCTCAGGAACACACAAAATTTAGCCACCTCCTTATGGCTTGCCCCACCCCCCACCCCCGGATCTTCATCCTGCCTTTTTGATTCCAATAGTCCGGCCAATAAACATTCTCCTTTCAAGAGTTTATCCACAACTCACCCCTTTTCATCAGGCTAGGTACAAGGCATGCTTTTTGTGTGCATGCTACTTGCCTGTTTTTCAGTCTCTTGTATATCTACTTCCCTGGTGTTACAAAAAATACCAAAAAAGCAAAATATTCAGTAGGTTTCATAAATTTGGTAGCCTACAACCAGGTACAAGACCTATAAAGGCGAAGTTAAGAGACTTGTACAGTAGCTTTGATCTTCTGGTCAGGATGTCTTCCCTGACACCAGCATTGGAACATATTTCGAGTTTAGTAATGTATGGATAAAACATCCTTCTTCCACTCTTGCTCTCCCCACCTCCACTGCTCTATAACTACCTTGCCGATGAGCTCCACATATAGCTAACATTGCTGGAACATAGTATACCATTTTTTTTCTTATTCCATCGGACAAAGTATTCAATGAAAAATGGAATACTCGAGACCATTTCCGATTTCTCCCCTGGCAGCAGCTCTTTCCAAGTTATGAGTCACTTCTTGCTGTGGATTCCTTGGGCTTGGAGCTGTTCTTTT